TGGCTTCTGCCTGCCCCTCTTCCCCACTGCCTCTGTAGGAAGCAGGCGGGTCGGAGGGGCCATCATGCACAGGGAGCCTGCTTGAAAGTCAGCTCCCCATACATATCAGCCACCACCTCCCCTCTTCACCCTCTGCGCTGGTGCCTCTCTATCAGAGGCAGAAGCACAGGGGTAGACAAGTGGATCCAGTGCTTGTGCAAGCCAGCTTTTAAGCCAGCTCCCCATGGGCACTGGCTCCCACTCCTCCCACCTTTCTTCTTCTGGTACACAGGCAGCAAGGAGTAGGGAAATGCAAGTAGTCAACAAGATTAACCGATAAGCGGGCTTATTTGGTCAATCGTGTTGACGTCTACATGCTGACATCCCTATTGACCAGTACGAATATCTGAAAGAAGGCTTAATTTTGATTTTGACATTGTAGTTCACCTTTACTAAAAGTTAAGCTTTTCTCTCTTTCAAAGCTGTTCTTTGTTACTACAGGTTGGATCTCCCTGGTCTGGCACCCTCGGGACATGAGTGGCCCCAAAGAAGGGATTTTGCTACACTACTGGAGGTCATTTCTGGCCCTCTGCCACCAGCTCTACTGTCCAGCTCCACTCCTGGCCTGGCTTCCCAGATGGCTTCCCACCTCCCACCAGACCTGTTGCTGTGCCGCGGCAGCCCACTGTCCTGGCTGCTGGGGTCCCAGCTTCATCCTAGCGGACTAGTGCCCTCCTGCCCGGTGCTCTGGCCCTGCCATGGCAACACCAGCAGCCCCACCACCGGGACTCCCAGCCCCACTGAGGCAGACCAGTGCTCAGCCACCAAGGTTCCCAACCCTGACAGCCCTACTGGGGCAGCACTGGCTCTGCCAACACTGCTGCAGCAGCCCACAGTCTCCCATTGTCAGGGCTCCTGGGCCCACTGCAGCAGACTACTGCCCTGCAGGAGGCTGCTTGCACTCCAGTTGCCTGCCACCAGCTCAGCTGTACTCCCATGTCAGGGCTCCCAGCAGCTAGCCTGGCTGGGTTCCAACCCCACACAGCTCCTGCCTCTGGCCCTCCAATGGGTCTCTCTGACCCAGCAACATCCATGGTCCTGCTGGAGAGAGATTCAACCAGTACAGAAGACGACCTAGGAGTGTTTATAATGGAATCAGACTCAAAATTCAAGGACCAATCTTACAAAAAGGAAGCATACCACATTGGAACTAAATTGTGGAAAAATCTTAAAAACAGATGCAAAAAATTCTGATAACCCCGACTCAGGCATACAGATGTACACACTAAAGGCAGATTACCTTTGAACTACACTGTCTGTGTGAAACATTCTCTCATCTTCATTCTGCAGCCTCTCTTTTCTCCTTCTCTCTATATCATGCCGTAGATCATTTGGATCTTCTAGAATTCTTACAATAGTCTAAGTAATGGAAAGGGAAATGTTACTGAAATTATATTGGATATATACAATCAACTGATCAAAATCAAGCCACAAACACCACACAGTAGGTGTTGTGGCTTGTCTTGTGCGTGCAAACCCATTTTAAAGAAAAATAACCATCTGAGGGCAAGAAGGAAGCAGACTTACACAATGACCCATGCATACAAAGTTTGGTTATAAAGAGTTCGACTCTGTAACTATCTGCTGATCCTCTCTGTTTCATTTTACTAATTACAAGATCCCAAATTAACAGGATTTGAAGCACAGAACTCCAGTTACTGGTAATTAAGCTGCCATTTTCCTTTCTGTAGTTACCTCTATAAATCTGCCCTATAGTAAATTAGCAAGCAGGAAGAGGGCACAATACTTAACCCTCTGGAAATGAGCATCCTACTTCACTATGAAGTTGAGATAAAAGTACAGAATAAAGCTATCAGTGGAATTCCAAGTAGCATCCTTACAGAGAAAGGTACATTAATGAGAGATTTTGGGAAAGTGGCTCCTCTGGTAGAACAGGCTCCAAGTCCCACTTGGTGCTAGCACTCTTTCAGGTCTGGTGTAATGAAGTGGGAAATATCTACATCAAGGAATACAGCACATGACTCTGCATTTATAATGGCCAAGATAAGGCATATCCTATCAAATACTCAAACACAACAGGCAGGCCTATGGCCATGAAGGGAAAGCTTCTCAGACTCAATTCTGGTGAGAAGTTTTATCAAGGCTGAGAAAAGAGAAATATTCAAGGGAACACTAAATCATTACAAGACTCTAGGCCTTAACAAAGGAAAGGAAGTTAAGAGTGTCTGCCCCAGGAGTCAATGAGAATTGACAGGCTAATAAGGAGAAGAACGACAAAAGCAGAAATTGAAGTAGTGGCAGTCAGCTTCTCATAACCAACAGATGGAGACAAATGAACTTGCTAAATTATGTGAGAGATTGCGATTAGGATTAGATAAAGAGAAATATTGTGTAGGATTTTATCGTGTTTATCCTTTATCTGTATACTTTGTACTGTTAGTGAATGAATAAATAATGGGAGCTTTGTTTTGAAGAAAAAAAGCTGTTTTGGGGTTATTTCAACTCTGGAACTGGGTCTATGGCTGTCAGCTCCCACTTGGCACCGGCAGTGAGGTAGTTAAAGTACATGGTTCCATACAGAGTGAGCTGCAAAAAGCCAGCTCTGCCACCTCAGGGATGCTTGAGGAGAACTAAAGGGGCCCCTAAAGACTAACAAAATCTATTATATGAGTACCCATCTGATTAAGTGAGTTTTACCCACAGAAGCTTATGATCCTGTATATTTGTTAAGCTTCTAAGGTGCCATAGGACTACTTGTCATTTTTAACCATCTGAATAAGAATCTAGAGATCTCCTCTCCTTTGGTCTTATTATCAAAGTAATCAAATGTAATTGCTTCCAAAATGGCTTACTTTTCAAACATCTGTTTTTAAATTTAATTTATTGAGCTAGCCTTCCTAAGCACAATATGAAGCTTTGAACAGAATCTATAAACCTAAGTTTTATTTTAGATGATGCTCATATTTACAGTTTATTCAGAAGCATTAAATAAGGATGCTTCGTTACTTTCTCTTTGGAAAATACTAAACAAGAAAGGTCCATCATCAAAGTCTAGATTTTACTCAATTACCAGCAAAACAACTTTACTGGGGGAAGGGGGAAAAAGAGGTACTGTACAGAGCAAAACAGATCTCCAAAATTCAAAAGGAGTAGTTATAAACCTACTAAGAATCAAGCTCAACATCCAGAAGTTAAGAAGCTGGAGAACTAGGAGATCAGACCTTAAAAGGCAATGATTCCCAACATTGAAATTGGTAACAAAGGCTTAGCTTTTGAATGTGTCTTTGAAACAGCCACATCTAAGCTATCTTGATAGCTCAACATGATGTTTCTTAACACAGAATAGATAACTATGACATTCTGAACTGGCTATTATAATCAATGATTTGTCTTCCCTCTCTAGAGAAAGATCTGAGCACTTCTGATTGGATGATCCAAAGCCTAAGATAGAAGACCACATGGAAAAGCCTATCCCCTCTTTCCTTATTTTCATCTTGTTCTGATATCACAAACCAGTGCCCAAGTATCCTCAGCTGGATGCCTTTTACCCAAACGCTTTAAGCCCCAAATGTGAAATACAGTGCAGTGCTTGAAGCTTGGATCCTTTTTTGGATCCATATTAACTAGAGCCTAACATTTTTAAACAATATATAATTACAGCTATAATTATTAAATTAATGTATACTGACAATACAATTGGTCTATGGTAAACAGTGCCATGGCTGCTTGTGCCTACAAAAAGTGAAATACTCAGGACAATTGTTTAGCTTAGGAGAAGGGAAGGGGAAGGAAGTTAGAGCTCTTTATAACTACAGGTGCAACACTGGATCCATAGGTTAACTGGCATCAGCTGAACATTTAAACCACTTTTAAATGGTTCTGGGTTCACAAAGCACAGCATAAATTTTTGAATACTCTATGTAGCACAGAATACATTTGCCTGCTTATTCAGTGGCCAGAAAAATAAAAGGCACCTGAACCATCAATATTCAGTTTTTAAATTTACATGCAAAAATGTTAAAAAAATTAAAGTAGTTTAACATTGTTTGATGGGTCAATATTTATATAATAATGGAATGTTATGGACAAGTTACAAGTTTATGAAAAAAGTGCATCAGAAGTGCTAACAGATTACCATTGTAACTTATTCTCAACATAAAAAAAAATAGCATACCTGTTCAGATTCACATGGCATACCTCGCTTATTCTTAAGTTCTGCCAGAGATATATCAATTCGCCTGAAGTAATAAGCCAAAATTATATAAGGGTAATGTCATACTTTAGAACACAGACGAGAACGATCACTTTGAACTAAAAGCCACTGTCATTATGGTCACATTTAAAATAATGATACTATGCAATTTAAAGTCAACTAAAAGTTGTTAAAATAAATATGCTATTATTTCATATTTCACATTAAGTTGAACATATACTGAAAACAATTAAGTACCTTAATCAATATAAATAATAGCACAAAGTTTTTGCTTTACCTGTGAATTTCTGGATCTGAATATATCTTAACTTCATTTAAATTTACAACTGGTTTATCTTGAATTTTTGAGAAGCGTTCATTTAAAGTTAGGTCAGAAGATGTAAAATAATTTGCTGCAAAAATATATTAAATGAAAAAATGTTACTTTATTGTTTGTATTGCAGTTGCACAACCATGCTATTTAAGTATTAACTATACTAAATAACACTAAATACTAATAGAAATTATTTTGATTTAATATTTGAAATCCAATCCTAACTCTCACTGATCAATGGTTAGTACTTAAACTATACACAAACTATAGCAGCCATCCTACTACTTTAATTTAATTAAAAATTAATGATTACACACGTTGTTAATACAGTAAATAAAAATGTCAACCCAAAGGGATTTAAGAGTTTATCAACTCTAGCCATACAATATTTTAAATATTGGAAACTATGGATTGTCACAATCAAGTATGATACAGAAGTAGTGCTACAACAAAATTAATAACATTAAACCGACAAATGAAAGGAGCAGCAAATATAAATGGCTAATAGTTTTGAATAAAACAAAGTACAGGTTGAACCTCTCTGGTCCAGTAACATCTGTGGTCCGGCATGATTTTAGTTAGCCAGATGGCCACATCCATGATATGTGGCTAAGTTTCCTGCAGTACCATAAAGTTTGTTCGCAGCCTCCAGTCCTGGCTCTCAGTGTTCTGTGCCCTTATTTAGCTCTAATCAACTCATAAATGTCCTCTAAGAACTCAGTAAGCAATGGAAATGTTAATGCTGCAAGGCAAATTGACTCCCATGTTTCAGTAAGTTCTCTGGTTCAGCACCAGTCAGGTTCTGAGGGTGCCAGACTAGAGAGGTTTCATCTGTACATCTCATCTCACTCTTTTCTTCCCAAGAAAAGTTGAACAGGAGGAACCAGTCTCTCCACTGAAACACTTCTGTCCTATCTTGCAATACCAGGATGCACATGAATGTCCCACTGAGGTCAACAGCACTCTGCACTGGTGAAATAGTTTCTGTATACTGATTATGACACAGAACTGCAGCCCTAGTTCTGTATTTAGTTTTTACTATAAACAAAATGCGAATTGACTCTGTTTTTACTTAACATAAAAAACTATGTAATTACTGTTTTTTTTCCCAGCAGCCCATTTCGAACTCTACCTTTAAACAATCAAGAGCCCAATATCCTATTATCTTCTCCAGGCTGCCAAGCCCCTTCAAGTATTCCTTACCGACTTCACTCAGGACAGAAACCCAAGACTTTCTTGACAAACAGCTCAATTTGATCGCTCCTCTAGCAAAAAACCTTCCTGCACCCTTAGCAGCACACCACCAGATTTCCTTTATTTTAGATTACCAAAACCTTAACATGCCCAACTTCACAGCCATCGCACATACTGCTTAGAACTTGCATGAGGCTTTATTTGTCTTGTGCTATTTGTATTCAAATAGATAGTATTCTGGTAAATACCAAAACATTTTAATTTAGTTTATATGTACAAGCATGAAATATTATAATCACCTTTAACTTGATGAATGATTGTGATAATTTCCTGAGTAAATTCTTTTGATGGGTTGCTCTCAGCATTTTGTGTTACAGATTCCATATGTTCAAACACTGGATGAAAATTTTCATTTTTCCTGCCAACAGCAACCAGATCATGTGACATCTGCCGCTCCACAGTATGGCTAGAAGTAGTCCTAGAATAAATTTGCATAAATGTATTTAGTAACTTTCAGAGATACTGCAATATTAACAAAAAATTAAAATA